CATACTTTGTTTGTCATTCTAAAATGGTAAGATGATTGGCATGTCAAATATATAGAAAAATCATTATTAGTTGAAAATAAAATGAAAGTTGATTTGTCTCTTCACAGTATGTAAATATCATTTTGATTTAGTAATTTGTTTAGATATTTTAGTAGAAGGATTTATGCAGACATTTAATGTGTACACTTATAGCCAAGTGTTGTAGTCAAGTTGACTGAATAAACGGAAGTTTTCTCTTCTTTGATACAAGTATTTAAAAAAAATATATTTATATGTATTTTGTTTGCCAAACGCAGAAAAGATGTACTAATAATGTAATTTTTCAAAACTTTTTATGAATGATATCCGGAAATTTTGTAGGTGGATATTATTTGATCTCATGGCAAGCAACATTATTTTTGTTCAACTCGTGAACCCATCGAAGTAAGATAACCACTGAAAACATGAAAGGCATAGGTGACCGTTTCTTCCTTGCATGGGAATCCTGAGCAATATCTTTCTATGACCCCGCATTCAGAAGTCGGAATCAAGACCTCTGGTCTTGCTCTCAAAAGCTCAGACTTTGACCCATATCAATCCACGATATTGTGCGACCATTTTAATTGCCTTGGGTGGGTATCTTCTTAAAACTTTAGAAGGTTTAGCTCCACTAGTCGCGGCTTTTCGTTAGAACTGAAATTTTGTCTTGGTGCTAGTCACTATTGAGCATATGATGATTGCCAGTATGGAGTTTTGGAGATTGTTGAATCTTATTGTAATCATGGGCTGATCCAATTTGGAAGACAGTCGCGCAATATCGTGGATTGATTTAATTTGGACCTGTTAACCGTTAAATCCCAGGTCATTGATCTAGAGGTTAAGGTTACTAGGGAAAATGCAATTCGATGGTTTATATAAATCCATACAGTATATTTTTAACAAAGATGAATAATTATTTATTTTGTGTTTTGTTGAATGTAATTTTCAACCGAATGAATTTTTCTGTCCGTTTGTTTGTGAACTTTCGGAATATCTGATTTTGGTTCGTTTTTACTTATTTTATGTTAAAAAGTAATGTGGAAAGACTCGTACATAAATTGTGTAAACGGAAACAAAGTTGAATAAATAAAAAATAAATAGCCATAAATCTGTATCAGTAACTGATACATTGTGATTTGGTTCTATTTAAATATACTGACATGTCTGACGATCTTTTTGAACTTCACGATAAAACTTCATTGATCTTTACTGTTTTATTGCACATATACGCGTAAATATATTTAATTTTCATTATGCTGGATTTAAAGCCTGATGTTTCTCCACTAAAATTTTTCTGATACCGTCAGTAAACACCGTCAAAGATTCTTCGTGCAGGATATAACATTTGGCTAAATGTTTGACGATTTTGAATGGTTTTATTCCCAGGAAGAAATGAAAAATGCCTTTAAATAAAGCAGTGTTTCACGGAACTACTTAGGAAAGATGGTTTCAAAAATAAATATTTTTTCTCGTGTGATTTTGGATATCTTGAGTTTTGAAAGACAGTTGTCGTCTATGATATGATCCCTATGCTGTGCAGAAGTTTTCTCTTTGCCAGTTTGTGATGCTAAAACCTAGTCTGAAGATTTAGAGAATTTGCATAGACTCCAGGTGTACATTCAATAGCTTAATTAAAGTATTGCTCTTGTATAGTAGAATCACATAAGTATGTAGTTTTAAGGCGAGACATTTTGTTCTAAATACAAAATAGCAGCCGATTATTGAGGTTGTAAAGTTTTATCATGTGACGTGGTTCAAACATGTGTTACACTTGCTCAGCAACACCCTTCTAAGAGAGAATGTAGTAATAGTGAAAATAATTCAGAAGGCGGAGAAACTGAAACATATCATCAGTTCTTCACATCATTGCCTGTCAATCAGAGCTATTCGGTAAGATCTAGACTTCCAATTGGAAACTGATGACACGGCTGAAAGTCGTTTTTCATAACAAAGTTCTATCAATTATCTTCTTTCCTATAAATCTTAGGTTTAATATTATTCCATCGTTTTTACCCCTCAAGTTTATTTCTTCTTTTGAAATTATGTTCTCCATGATAAACTTTTCATTTCAGTTAGTACTAGTTTCTTTTCTATGCTTTATCTACTGGTAATTTTTTATCTCGCTATGCTGATATATGTGGCAGTTTATACCGATATATTCGTCCCAGATCTTATGTTTTTCTTAGTCGACCGATAACTGACTAAGTTCACCCAAGGGAAATGGAATATTACAACAAAGTTAAGAGATTGTAGATATGATTGAATCCAACACACATACATATATACTCATATATGTTCATGTTTTAGTAGTAAATGTTTTTCAGTATATAATAAGAGTTCATTTTTCTCCCTTTTCTTTATCTTTTCAAAATAATAATTTATTTATTCACTATCTATCAATCATTGTTTATCTCTCATCAGCCTATAGGGTCAATAAATACTAGCCTTAAAGAAATTAAGAACAAATGAGAAGTGACATGTATCTCCCTTTATTTATGCAGAAAAGGCAAAGTAAAAAAGCTGTTATAACCCCTTCTTTTCAACGATGAATATAATAGTAATAATAATAATGACAATAGTATCTATTTCATGAATTGTTTTTATTAATGTTGAGCATAAAATCTCATGAGTTGCTATAGTAATGAGATTTTATGATTAAATAAATGCACACAAAGCGACAATGACAGCATATCATTTACAGTACTGTTTATGAATTAAATGTAGGTAAATTGTCATTGAATTTAAATGATCTACTTTGGAAATACATTTTATTAAGTAATCGGATTAGAATGAGTGAAAATGAAGGGTTTGTTTCTCTTCCCCTTTTAGATCGTCCTTAATTATATTTTTGTTGAATTCATATTTGTCAGAATGATTATTAAGTATTTATGATATATTATGACAAAAAAATATTCAATCAGTATTCCATAACAAATGAGCATGAAAAATAGTCTGATAGGTAATCTAAATGCATAATTACATTTAGAAACACATTAAGTTTGCGCAAAGATGTAAGTACATACCTTTAGTTATTCAAAGGTCACTTATGGATCTTTTCAACTAATGTTTTACATTGGTAATATTGAGTGAGTATTCCTTATGTTGAGTATAAGGTACTGGGTAGAGATAGTAAAAAGGTTGATGAGCCTGTAATCACTTCTCGACTGTGATTGTCGGAAGAAGAGTCAAGTATACACAGCCATGGTAAACATCGAAATGAAATGCTTGTCAGCGAAGTTGTAGACTGAAGGAACCATTTAGAGACGGTCAGACCAATATAAAACTTAGTGATAAAAGTCTTATATGACATAATTTAAGATAGGATGTAAGGACATAGATTTGTTCACTTTTTATCTCCTACCCATTCCTATATTTTGTATTGTTATACAATTCTCATTTCTCCATTTCATTTTGTTACATTATAACCTACAAACTCTATGTCGTGTTTGCAAATTATAACGTATTAATTCCATATTATTACATTTAACGTTTTGCCCTTGAGTTTACTAATTCAGAGTAAGGTATAGGATTTTGAAACAACATAAATTTGTACTAAGTTTAATATTTTCTAACATGTGTACTATTATGCATACATACTGAGAATTATTACATTACGGATCAGGATAAATTTTACATACGGTCATCTGAAGATGTTTTCATTGCTTTGTGCTTTGATTGATATTAATTTTGGGTAGGAAAATTTAAACACTTTCCGTAATTCATTTTGATGGTCAGTCTTAAGAGAGGTAAATCAAATAATAAAAAATAAATGACTTGCCAGTTATTGGTCTTAAAAACATTATATTTCACCAATTGATGTTTTTTCTTCTAAATATACTATAAAATACTACTAGCTAATCATATTTATTACTAACTGTTTATCATAAATAAATAATTATCGAATAATTTATAACACTGTTCATATTTCTTTCTAATGAAACTTATAAATAACAATAAATCAGAAGTGTTTTTTTTTCGAAAATGACAAAAATTTAGTAAGCTGTTAGTCCCAGTCAAATTTTGAAGGTAGTTATTTTCACAATTCGCCATCAGTCAAGAACATTACTAATACATAATGTTCATATTGAAGTTTAAGAAAAACTATCAGTACGATCTGTCAATTTATCGTAAAAAGGGTGTAAGATGAAAAATTATCTCATAATGGAATGGTCATAATATTTTTCTAAATATTAGGACATTTTTTATAAGCAAAGATGGATGGTGGCGAGCAGTGGTATCCAGGACGCGCTTTCCTTTCTATTTGGGACTTATCAGGTGGTTGTATCTTTAAGTTTAGATATGACTGAATTCAATAAAACTTATATATATATATATAACCATCCATCTCTTGTTATAATGTTGTGACTTAAGATAATATCGAGTCAATCGGCACAGGACGCACATATGCTAATAAGGGACTGATCAATTACAGTCCTAAACATCACTGGGAAGACAGAAATAGCCAAAAAAATGAGTGATAAGTTTGTATTGAAAAATCCTCTGCTTATCCGAACAAGCTATGAAAGACACTGGGAGTTGTGTTAAAAGAATTTCTTCAGATAATGAAGCTTTGTGGTATAAATTTTATCAACAAAATACCACTTTCAGGCGTATTCAAGAATAATATAAACAGTAGTCGTTGAAGAATGTGAATCCATGTAGATTGAGGGATCGACGATGTACAAGTACTTTCTTATATTAGAGCATAGCTTCAATTCATTTCATTTCAATAAAGAATAAAAATGGTGTATCCAGACAATTATTTTTGACAGTTATCAACTAATCATGTAAGGATTTGAACAAAAAATAAGTAGAAACCTGAAATACTGGTAATTTTCTGATCTAAATATTTGGTTATGTAAGAAGTATTTAGGATAGTTCGCCTATAACAAAATATTGTTGAGCTATTGTTTCGCTTAAACTTATAATAACATTATTTAATTTATTTTCTTCTGTTTAATGTTTCTCTTTTCTTCACAAAGATTTTGGTGGAGAGCATAGTTCCGGTGATGAGAGTGAAGGTGAAGTTAGTTGGATTGAAGGTGTTGCTATACTTTGTGCTGTTTTGGTTGTAGTTTTAGTAACAGCAACAAATGATTGGCAGAAAGAAAAACAATTTCGTGGTTTACAAGATAAAATTGAATCAGACCATAAAATGTCTGTTTTACGAGATGGTGATATTACAGAAGTACTAGTTGGTGATATTGTTGTTGGTGATATATGTTTAGTGAAATATGGTAAGTGAATTTTTCCATAATTTAGCTTATCCAGAAAATGATTCAGTATTAAATCTTCCTACTTTCATTTTGCTTCTGTTTCTTAACAGATTTGATTGTAATATTTTATTGTTTATACGTAGATTATTCTTAAATGTTACATAGATAGTTGTTTCTTTTAAAATTAGTATTGTCAAATTTCTTTCATCTTGCTATGCAAATAATGAAACCTTTATGAATTGTTATCGGATGATCATTTGAATAGTGTGCTATGAATCTGAAGTGATTTGGACTGACCTTTTTGTTAGCCTGTTCTATGTTCACCATGTGAATGTATTTGTTTTGCTATCTAAACCAATTTATTAGTTATCTGTTGGATAGCCTATACACTCATCTGGTCAAAATAAAAAATGTTCTGACTAAAAAGTATTACATTGAAATCATGAACCAATTTAAGTTACACCGCCACTGAAAACATGGGAATAATGAACTGCCGTCCAATCCTAATATGGAACTCCTCAACAGTGGGCATCCACCATCCTGAAAATAGTAATCGGATCAATGTCTTTCAAGTTCGCGTGCGAGCGCTTAACCTCTAGACCATTGAGCCAGCATCTAACGGTGATGATTCAATCTAGGAGTTCTATACTAGGACGAAATGGCTGTCTAGTACTCCAAGATTTTCAGTGGTGGTCTGACTCAGATTGGTTGACGATTCCAATGAAGTTCAACAGTTTTCACAACCCCATGATATTATTCTGTTGATAGAAGAAGCATATTTTGTTTACGAGAAATTAATATGTGACTTTTCTATAAAACTGTTTGGTTGAACGAAAGTCACATAATAAATTATGCGAACTAACTTTCATACAATGGGAACGTAACAGAAGGTTAACATCTAATAATACTAACCTTATGTATTTTTGAGAAAATAATATAAGCATTAGTTATCAATTTGATTATCAAAATGTCATACAATTGGTTTCGTCAGTCGGTTTAGAAAACATTGTTTAGTTTATATTGCCATTTATTTATATTTATAATGCTTCTTTCTATGTCAGAATGCTCATTTTTTATTGATCTGTTAGTTTAAACGATTGGATTAGTTTTTTGGGTTTACGACCTTTGAATATACCTATGACGGGGGTGGTGAAGTTTGAGGTGTTCTTCATATTTAAATCTACTTAATTTAGACGTTGTATTGAGCCACAGATTTGAATATTTTGTCTAGTTTTCTTTAACAGTATTTATTTATAAATTAGTCTTCCCCAACTGTATCAAGTTATATAATGACACTTTTGCCAGAGCTATTGTGTACACTTCATTATTTGTTACGGAAACAAAGCAATTTCCTTCAGTTTTAACGGTGAATATAGAACATTTTAAATTTGATTCATGTGGCTTAGATAAGATTTATTGCAATATTTATCTAATATAAATTGCTTCATTGGATTTAGTTGGATTGCAAATGTTGATGTACCGTATTACATAAAGACTAAATAATCACTTAGTTCTTGAATATATGTGTTTTGACTGGTTCATTAGGTTTTGGTTAATTAAAAATGTTCATATAAGTAAATCTGACAATAAATGTTTAGCTCATGTTACACTTGTGACAATATCAAATCAAATCACTGTGTTACATCATTCAGAGATACGAAGTACACTCAACGAGCAACGGATATTGTAGTAATGTAATGAATTCTATATGTTATCACTGATACTGTAAAATTCAAATGTTTCAGTGAATTTCAACGCATAAGTTACTTAATATTTCATGTTAATCCATGCGTAATGTAATTCGTATATTTCACAAAAGTTTAAAGATACGCTATGAAATAAATTGAAATATAATAATTCAGTTTTTAAATATGTAACAGAATTAATAAACAATCAGAAGAATTGATAAATTAAGTATGAATATAAAATATGATTATCAATTTGGAAAATCTTATTTTCCTTCTTTGTTTAACATTGCAACCCAGTGAGACATGATGCTAAATTTCATTCATTTTTGACACTCCTGAAGGAGTGAATATTTATCATATATACATATATATGTGCTCAATGGACTGAAACTCCTTTTGCTGAAGAAAAAATCTAGATCAGGCCTTGTACCACTACGTTTCTTTATTTAGGTATGCCACACCTAAGTTCACGGGTTATTCTCCTAGTTCCTGATTTTCCCTCTGTTCATTATTATTATTATTATCATCAGCTTCTTGACCTTGATTTTTACATTTTGAATAATCGAGAACATGCATTAATGAAATCAACCGACAAAACATTAAGCACAAATGGATTTCATTTTCATTATTTGCTCATTATTGATACTTATTATTATTTTAAATAAATTAATAAGAATATGATTGTTTTCTAATTCGTCCACTAACTTTCTCTTTCCTTTCAGTAGTTCTTCTGTTTATTTTTCTTTTTCTTATCTTTCTATTCTTCTATCCTGTTCAGCTTCTCTTTTCTTCCTTAACAATTTCTCTTCTCTTCAATTACATTGCACATTCTTTCTCAATCAGCTATGCATTTATTATAATTTGTTTGTTTTCGTCACAATCTTTTCTTTCTTACTGTTCCACTTTTTTATTCAGTAGATTCTTTTGTTTTGTTTGCTTGCATTCAAAATCAAATGGAAATCAGAATATTATATTAAATAAACTGTTTTGTTGTTTTGCTGTAATTCTTTGTATCCAAATATCAACGTTTATTTGCTTGTTTCAAGTTCACTTGTGTTGCATTGTATTTTTGTTATTGAGCTCCAACTTTAAAGATTTTTGAGAAAAAAATATCAATGTGATAACATACCTATGCATATATATATATATGTATATACAATAAGATAATTATATAAAAACCAGCGGAATAGTCGACCAAAACATAGTTATCCTCGATAATTCAATAATAATAACAATAAGTAATTATATTACAAATTAAATTTAATCTACATTCACTTTAATGTTTTCTGTTCTTAAGTTTATTATAAGTTTTCTTGATTTAATTACATTTTAATTTTCTTTTATTTATTTTTTTCGAAATAAAAGTTAAAAGGTAAACTTTATCTCTTGTTTCTTCTTTTCTTTCTAATTAATTTTATTATTTTTAAATAAAGAATAATTTTTTTTGGATTTTTTTCCCGAAACTAAGTAGCACCATTGTTTGGTAAACATGGTAAATATTACAATACAATTGACATTATCTACTGCATTATGCAATGTAAACGTTGTTTATACAGTTGAGTTATTTTTTTTTAAATTAACAAGATAAGAGCAATGAAAAATTTAGAAAGACGGAATGACTGATATCAGTCTCAACGTGATAAGCTATTGATTTATCAGTTTATTATTGTTGATTCGGATACGAACCTTTCCCTATTCATGTCGAACATTCAATGTTGGTCTCGAAATGATGATCGGATATTTTAAATATTTCCAGAGTTGACTAAACCAATGAAGTATCTTGTTACTATTGTTTATAAGCATTTAAATAAACATTAAGCTAAAACGTTTTAAAAAATTAATAACCTGTAAGATTTTTTGGGAACGTCAGTCAGTTAGTTAAAAACAAAAACGTAAAACCTATAACCTATCTGCATTGTTTCAAATTGCCACGCCAAATTAGCACAGCGGATCCCAGATGGGTGGAAGCAGTAATAGTGGTAGAAACCATTAGGTTATAAAATAATGTAATAAAAAGTACTAAAAACTGTAATATAACTTTGAAATTCAATATCTAAGGGAAGAGCAGGAGTAAATCCATCTACCCTATTGCAGTCGATCCTAATCCATGTAGTGCAATTTCCAAGCATCGAGTACAATAATGAGACTGGTTGCAATGATTAGTCTGCAACTACTCATATTGCTCTATCTAATGGCCAACAATTTCGCTTCTTGGTTTAGCAACCTCTAGCATTCTTCAAATATGTTCCTCTACCAGCCATTTTTCTTATTGTAAACATTTTTCTTCGAATTTTTCTTTAATATGCATGGATTTTACTACACAGATTAATCTTTTAAAAAAACAACTGAACGTGATATGTCAACATTTTCAATTTATTATTGTAGACATAAATGGGCAACCGTTTATTCTATTTTCGTTTAGAAATTACATGAATGAGAACATGAAAAGGCTCTTCTTTTTAACCTATGTGATCAATTCTTTTAGCAATGTTATTCTTTTTTATTCTATTTTGTATTTATATGCGATTCGAATCACTAGGCGACAAAATCTCTTTTTTTATATTGAAGATTTGTTAGACGTTGTTTACTATTTTTTAGATTTTCGAACTTATTTTTATGGTTTGTTTTTATACTTTGTATGGTGTATTAAGTTATTTATGCTGTGAATATATTATCTGGTTACTCATTACAATGTTTCGAATTAACAAAATGTGTTTGTAACGCAACTTACTTGACATATAGAGCTCCATGCACTCGGATTTAATGCATACTGTTTCAGATTTATGACGGCTTCGCAGTCTATCTGGTTGATCTTACAACTTATCAGTAGTAAGCGAAATACCTAAAGTAATAAAACCATTCGTTGTTTTGATTTGTTTAGTTAGCAATATATACGATATGTGTTGTACAACTGTACGGACGTCTTAATAATTCTATTTAGTACATGATAATAGATGAATTAGTGAATAGCCATTCGAAATACCTTCAGTTTCATCACTTTTGAAATGGAACTGTTTAGGAATAGGTTTTTAGGCGATGAATAATTTCGAATACGTAGCTGAAGAAGTTACTAAGTCAGTGAAACAGTAGTTCGTCTCTTGCTCAATTCAGCCAATTATTTTAATTATTTATTACAAGTGGTCTAATTGAAAGAAAACCAAAATATACTGTACTTCAGTCTTAAGGTAGTGTTGTTGTATGAAAATATTACCCTAGAGTAATATCTTGCCTGGAAGCGGTAATGTTCTTTTTAACAACCAATTTCACTTTTTGGGTCTACACTGGATTTGAGGATTTCTCCGTATTACTTAGAAGGTGGAAATGTGAGTAATC